TATTTAAGAATTAGTGGTGTAATTTTATAACTTTTCTCACTTGCAAATAAGTGAGTAAAAAGAGTGTTGGTGAACGTCAAACAAACATTAAACGAATATATTTGTGAATACTAAAAGAACGAACACAAACACCTTTAAAAATAAATAAACGAACACAAACACGATATTGAAAATTTAAACAAACATGAACAATTTCAAAAATAAATAAAAAAACGAATATAGCTCCACTCGTTCAAGTTCGTTTCATTTACACCCCTAGTAATATGTCAAAATTTGTTTGGTCCATAAATAAAATCCAACAACTCATTTACCTATAACCCAATTACATAACTCGAAGGTCCAAGTTACAAAGCCCTAATTACAACCCGTTGGCTGGCCTAATACCCTAAGCCCGTTTATGAGCCCAAATTCCAATTTCAGGGGACCATTGGAAAACCCTAGATCACCAAACTTTCGTCGTTGTCACAGAAAAAACAAATTAGAATTAACATTCAAATTGAAAGGAAATATAAATTATAGAGACCAAAATGAAAATATCATATTCTTTGATAAACTTACTCCTATCGAATCTTTATAGATAATAATATATTTATATACAAAAGGATCAAATTTTCAAATCCGACGGATTAAAAAAGAATGAAGTTAAAATTTTAAAATTACTATTGAAATTTCAAAATTAAATATCAAAACAATGTTTTTTTTTTGGGGGGGGGAGGGGGGAATGACAAAAAGGTACTTTTGGCCAGTGTTTTAAAAATCGGACCGGTTGAACCGCTACTAGTGAACCGATCGAAATCGTTGAACCGTTCGAACCGGACCGGCTGAAAACTGGAAAAAACCGTCAATTTTGTTTTTTTTTTAAAAATTAAACCAAACGACGTCATTTGTTAAATGAGCCAAGTCAAACTCGAGTATTACTGAGTTCGACTCGAACTTAAAAACTTTAAAACTAAGTTCAACTCGACTCAAACTTACGAGCTAAAAATTATCAAGTTTAACTCGAACTCGAAATATAATATTGAAACTTGAACTCAAAAAGGCTTGAACTTAAAAAAAAATTAGAAACTCGATTGAAGCCTAAAATTCAAGCTTGATTGAAGTGAAAGAATGGTTCACTCAATGCTCACCAAAAGGCTCCATGATTTTGAATGCCAAATTACCTCTATTATTTATAGAAGTTAGTTGGGATGCTCTTCTATGTTTCTTAGCCATGTGAATTTGTTTTTTTTAAAAAAAATTAAATTAAACAATATCATTTTGTTATGATTTTTTAGCCCCAAATATTTTTTAATTATAGTTATATAATTATATTTATTATTTAATATGTTTTACTTTAAATATTATGTTGTGGTTAATTTGAATCATTTTGTTTCACTTGATTTTATGGTTTTTAACTTATATATGTTATGACTTGCTTTGAATATGACTTGTGATATAAAAAATTATTTTTTATTAAATATTTTTGATATTTTTATTTAATTTTTTAAATAATTATGACGTCATACGATTCTTCCGACTGATCGGACCGATTCGACCGGTTGAACCAGTGAACTGGTAGCATGACCGATTTGTTAACCGATCCGGTTCTAAAAACCATGTTTTTGGCTCTTGTCAACATATATATCAATATATCTCGAAAAGTTACGTACAATTAAAAAATCATCGCAATCAGGTATCGAATTATAAAGTTATGACCTTTTAAAGTTTTACATTATATTTTATAGTTTAAATGTCTGAATTTAATTATTTAAAACTTACTTTTTTACTACAAATATTTATTTTAATCCTTATGTTTTCTTAAATTTTAATCTAAAAATTATTGGGTCCCGACTATTAAAAGTTACAAAATAAACCAAGGGCTATAAGATGTTTCTTTATTGAGTCTCCCGACTATAAAAAGTTACAAAATAATCACTTGACTATTCATATGTTTCAAACTTGTCGTTTTTCATCAAAAAATTGGCGGTCTTCTACGTATGACGTTAACTTACTCATTCAGATATGATAAAAATCTGATCCCAAAACTATTTGAGTTGTATTTTATAGATTGAATATATGTTTACATTATGCAATCAAGTAAGCGTTTGAAACATTATATCACCAAGTCAATGCTTGAAAACAACAACAATATAAGTGTAAACATCATTAAAATATAATTTTATCATATCTTAATTAGTATGTTAACATCTAAATCAAATGATTGCCAATTTTTAACAAAAAAATGACAAGTTTGGAATATGTAAATAGTTGAATGATCATTTTATAACTTATAATAATTCGGAGACTCAACAAAACAACGACCTATAATCGATGAATCATTTTATAACTTTAATAATCAGAATACTTAATAAAATAATATCTTACAATTAAAAGTCGCGGGTTCGACCCCCGCCGGGACAACTATATTGAGCTTAAAATTTGGAACGCTTTCATCTTAAGTTATTTGATTTATCCCAAAAAAAAAATTACAACTTTCCAAACCAATCATAAGCATGAATGACTGGATTCGAACAGCAAATCAACAAGTAACATGTGTACAAAAGTTAAAAAAATTGACGTATCAGATCACGTGAGAGCTCACGTTGGATGACGAAATCACGTGAGGCTCTGAGCTGGCAATCAATTAGAAATCTAAACAATTTTCAGTCCAATTTCTTTATAATAGAAAAAATACAAAAAAAGAAAAATAAGTTTAAAACATCGACTACATAAGACCATCACGCGCTTTTAAAACGCCAATCCACAATTTTAAGATCCTTAAATTATAAAATAAAATTAGTAAAAAAATTATCATAGAAATAAAATTAAAAATAAATAAAATAACTAAGATTTAAAAGAGTATTTTTATCCTCGTAATAAACTAAAATTAATAATATCATTTAATTTTTTTTAATTGTATGACCGTAATCTTTAAATTTATTTAATTATATTAATTTTATCATTTGATAGTCGAAAATTATCTTTAATTGTTATAGCGATGATACGATAGTTAACTGGACTAATGTGATGATCCATGGTATTTATGTGACAATGTGCATGTGAATAATGATATCATAAAAATATTTAATAATTTTTTTTGACGGGGTTTAAAAATATAATTAATTTTTATATAAATTTGATGTATCATGTAGATAAAGTTTATAATTGAATCTATTTGAGAATTAAAATGTATAAACACTTATAAAAATTGACTTTTTATAAAACTTAGATTGTTTTACACTTATGTGAGTGAAAATATATTTTATTTTAATTTTAAAAAATAAACGGTCTACATTAATTGTAAATAGTGTCAGAAATGACTATAACAGAAATACATTTAGAAACAATAGACTTGACATATAACAACACAGACGTGAAGGAGACATAATTGACGAGTGCATAAACCACACCATTAGCCTTACATCGAACAAATCGAACTGAAACATGAAGAAAGAATCAAGAAGTTATCGTACTTGAAGAAGAAAAAATAGAAAAATTCAATATGTATCTTTATGCAAAAAGAAAAGGAAAAATAACATTGATTTGGTCGGTGATGATGGCGTTTGAATAGAAAAAATCCAATAGCTACTTTAGGTGGTCAAATCAAAATGTTCTAATATGTCAAGAAAGTTATAAATTTATCTCAAATTATTTCTTAAAATTAAATATTTGTAGGATAACTAACTATTTAGATTTTCTTAACTCGAAGTCATGATTAAATATTGGCAGTGACCGAAATATTAGATTATTTAAGAAAAATAAAATGACTTATTAGGTTTTCATACTCAAAATTCAGCACAAATCAAGCGACTTTAGTGATAAAGGGATTGTTGTTATCATTGAAGTATCGAGTTTGAGCATTGCGTGTGTAACAGAATGAACATTCATTGTCAATGGTTAAGAGTCTTTATATTGGTAGTACCTTGTATTCACCCCATATATATATAACTCAAAATTCACAAGACAATACCTAATTTGTCTAATATTTAAATTTATAATAACTTCAATTGTTACTAAACTAAAAATTTGAGAACATGAGGTTATCATTCTTTAATTTGGCTCCTAATCGATTAAATATTTAATAAATTCTTTTATTTTTAATTTAAATATTTTATTTTTACGTTAACAAAAGTATTATTAAATCAAAAGTATATCGAATATATAAAATTTTTAACAGGGCTCAAGGCCCCTTTGGGCCCCAACAGAGTTCCACCCCTGGCTCCAATTATCAACTATCACACATTCTTAATCATTTAATCGATCAATCTGAATTGAATACTATAAATATGTAATTCAAATTTTTTATTCACAATATTAAAAATTAACTTATGATCTTATTTACGAGATCTAAATTTTTATCTTACTAAATTAAATAATATTTCTTTGACAAACAGAAAAACTCTTTAGAAATCTTTTTATTATAAAGTTTTAAAAAACTTTTTAACTTTTGACAAGAAATTGGGTTGAAAGAACAGTAAATCCAAATTATATTATTTTCCAAAACGAGAATCCACTTAATTAGTGCCTAATATCAAATTGATTTGACGTAAGTCAGTAAAATAGGATGTTAAAGATAGAATTAATTTAAAAAAATATTATGAAAACTATAAGCATCACGGCCAAGCAAATTTTACTTTACAAGAAGAAACCTGATTTGTATCTTACTTTGTATTTTATTATAAATTTTAAGCTTTTGTGACTAAATGTTAACGACCTCTTTGAAAAACTATATGCCATGTGAAATGAAGTTAACTTTTTGTGTCAATTAAATCCAACAAATAGATTCATTCTTTTTCTTAATCGTAGTTAGTTTCTTACGAAAAGGGATCAAAATGATCATTTAAATAAATATTAAAGGCTAATTTTATCATAACGTTAACTAAAATTAAACATGTTAATAAGAAGTGACACCATGAAAGGGAGGAAAAAGGATTTTAAAAACTCCATAGCCATCACCTTGACCATCCAGATACATTGGACAAAGAAAGTTTTGAAAACCACGTCGAATCGATTCGCAGCCAAGAAATTGTTTCATGCATTTTAATTTTGTAGGACCCGAATGTGTGTTAAAAACTCCATATAAGATGCCATTTCCCAACAAAACCTAAGCCATGGAGATAATACAAAGACGCTGTTATGGAGGGTGCTTCTAAGGGCAAGGAAGAAGGGACCGACACGACTCGGTACCGGGGCGTACGAAGGCGGCCATGGGGGAAGTTTGCGGCCGAGATACGCGACTCAAATCGGCACGGCGCTCGTGTTTGGCTGGGGACTTTTAACACCGCAGAGGAGGCCGCTCGAGCTTACGATAGAGCCGCCTATGCAATGAGAGGCCACCTGGCGATTCTCAACTTCCCGCAGGAGTATCCGATGGGTAGTGGTGTCGGCGCGACTGCTTCTTCTTCTTCGTCGTCATCGGGGAAACAAGTTATCGAGCTGGAGTACTTGGATGATAAGTTGCTTGAAGAGCTTCTCGATCAAGATGATAATAAGAAGGAAGAAAAGAAGTGAAATTCATGGGGGACAAGTTATCTTGACAATTTCTCTTGAATTCCGCTACTCTTAACTAATCAAAGCACTGTTTTTCAGTAAAGAACTTTACATCATCCCATTAATAAGTGCATGATTTGTTCATATTGGAACTACCAAATGCATTCTTGTTGTTGGGATTTTCACATTGGTTAATGAGTGTCGCGAGTACTTTTTTCGAAGTGGTGAAAATCGGAATAAATTTAAAGAATCGGAATTAAAAGATAAGAATTTTAGAAAAGATTTAAAAAAACGTTTGGAGTCTCTATTAACCTTTGGGATTAGGTAGGTTGAAAATCCAGGATATGCCATTTTAAATAAAAAATTTAAAAAGACACGATTTGGCATGTGATTCAGAGATTATGAGTTCGGGAGTCGATTACGCTTGGGGAAGGATTAGCACCCCACATCGCCCAAAATTAATACCTCCAATTATAAATTTGTCCCTATATTAAAAATTAAAAAAATAAAAAATTTATTTAATTAATGATCATTTTATTCCCTATAAAATTATAAAAAAAATTTAAAGAGATGCACAATATTTGTTATTTCCAAATAAAGAAGAAACTATCCTCTAATTGAAATTAAGGCGGTTATTTCTTATGTTTTAATCGAAATAATAAAATATTATCAACCCTAATTTTTTAAATAAGTAATCAATTATTAAACCCTAAAAAGAGAAAAATAATGTGACAAATTAGTCAAATTATTATTAAAAAAATAAGGACGTTCTTTGATTTAAAGAACGAAAGCCAAGCCTTTGACGTTAATCAAACAACTCGTTCTTAGCAATTTAAACGTAGGAACAACCCTCTACCATTTTATTTAAAATTAATAAACCTATTCGATTTTTGCGGTGACCACTTGATAGAACATTTATTTATTCGAAAAATATTGAACAAGAATGTCTAGTTATTTTAAGACCACCCGTTTCAATATTCAAGAATAAAAGAATATCATTTTTAATTAATTATGAATTCATGCTCATGTGTTTCTAATTAATATTATTAAGGAAACTAAACCTACAAGGTAATTTCTAAACATATTAATTTCTAATTAAGGAACCTAAACTAAGGTTTTAATAAATAAGTAATAAACTAAAGAACCTAAAAGCTAAAACTTAATTAAAAAACCTAAGGACTAATTAATATTAGCGATCGAATTAAAAGATTGAAAAACCTAAATGTTTTATCTCACAATTAAACAAGTGACCCATTTAAAATATTTACAAATTAATAAGTGATATTAATAATTAAACACATTCAATAAAAGATTCAAGGCAATTGAATATGAATTAATGACTAAATTGAATTCAATTAAAATTCGAAGTATAAATTCAAATAATTGGTGACTAAAATAAAATAAATAAAAAGACACTTTCCAAAAAAAACCACGCCAACTATAGGAGGTTTTAATGAAACAAATAACCCAAAATATTACACAATATAAGACCCAAAAATTAAGCAAAAACCTCAATTTTGTTCTTTCCAAAATTTCGAACTCTTCTAAATGCTCTTAACCCCCACCCAACCGAAAATCACCTATACCAACTTATTCTTCCATTTGTTATTCATGTTCTTTCTAAAATCCAACCCAAAAACAAGCTTTGCTTCAAAACCAATCCGAAAATCGTTTTTCGAAGATCAAACACCCATATTTCCTAAGAAATATCAAATGTTCATCCTCCAAAATCCACTTTGATCTTCCAATAAAACCCAAAAATCAACGCAACTTGTTTTTTAAAGATCAAAACCGAATTTTTTCCCTTAAGATTTCAAGAACATTCAAACACCAAACCCAACTTCCTACTAAACCCTAAATCTACAACCACCATCCAAACAACCAACAACCCAACAAACCCGACAGCCGAGACCAACTCCCTGTCATCAAAGCCACCATCGGTCAGCTACTCCGACCAACCACCGACCCTTGCCGGCCACCCAACCAACACCAAAAAAAATCATATTCGAACCAAAAGTAAAAAGAAAGGGAGACTCACCCAAAAACGCTTCCCTCCGGCGATGGTAAACCTTTCTTCCTCTCTTTCGAATATTTAATAATGCTTTGGCTTGCTTAATCCTTGTGTGTGTTAAATGATAATGATTGAAGCCTATTTATGTTGTTGGTTTTAGCTCCCGGATCCAACCGTTTTCTCCTAAAATCGGTTAGAACGAGCTTGGATTCGAGAAGGTTCTTTAGTCCTAATTTTTTCTGATTTTTTTCTAATTTTTCGCATGCTTCGAAACTTTACCGGCAGAGATGCGGTGACTAACGGGGGAAGAAGAACGGAATGACGCGTGAGCCCCACGCGCCGTGACACACCGACGAGGTCTCGGACCGGCAATAGTGTTGTTGGTGAAGCCCTAGCTTCCTTGGAGAATATGAAACATGGCCATTGGATCTATTTGTGATCCAATGGCTTAGAATGCTTTGTGCTCTTTTGTGTGGATTGATGACGTGGCATAATGAGAGCCATTGGATCTATCCTTCCATCTAAGGGTCCATATTAGTTGTGTTTGTTTCACTTGGATAAAAGCTTCCATGGCCATTATATCCAAGCTAATGAACGGTGGAGATTGTTTGTGCTTTTTAGCCTAGGATAGATGATGTAAACTCCCTTGAAAGTTGGGCCAATCAATGTATTGTTTGACTTTGAAAATCAAATCCAAAATTTCCCTCCTACACCAAAAAAAACCGGCGACAATAGATAGTATTAGGAACTTTTTGTTTTTTTTTTTTTAATTTTTATTTGTATATATTTATAAAATGTATGGGCTAATACTTTGGGCCTATGTGAAAAATATGTAAATGGACTATTTTTAATGCAAATGGACTCTTTTTTGGGTTTTTATTTATTTAAAAGAAAAATTAAAAAATGGGCTACATAATATGAACTAACCTATTAATAATATAGACTATATAGTATACTAATTATGCAAATGAAACTATATAATATGAAACATGTAACATACTAACTATCTAATATATACAATTATTATTTATAATTTATATGACATGTGAATGCAACTATATTTAATATGTACTATCACATGCAATTATGTAGTATATACTATATATCATATTATAATATGAAACGTATCACTACCCGGATAAAGTGAGTGATAACAGCTGTCCCTCTTTACTTATTGATGTGGAATGAGAATGAAACAAAGACAAGAAGCACCAATTTTATTCGGTTGACTGCCAACCACTAGTTCCAGATTCTTTCTATACGAACCCTTCACCCAATGATAAAAGTCAACTCTGGAATCTGAGAAAGCTCTCTTAAACTCCTCATTTTCAAAATGCTCGGACAAAACATACGAGATCTCCTATATAAACCCTCCATTCTACCACAACGACTCAGTCTAGGTTAAACGAGCTCTCCTATATAAACTAATTCTTCCTGTAGAAATGCTAATTCACCTCATTCTATGATGAAATTGAGCAAAAACGCAATGCTAATCCAACTCATTATGTGAAGAATCAAGCAAAACGACGAAGCTGACCCACTTTCTTCTGTGATGGTGTCGAGAAAAAATGGTGATGTTGTTCCGACTCCTTCTGTGAAGAAACGAACACCGAATTGACGTTGATCCAGCTCCTTCTGTGAAAAACCAAGCGAAAGACTTTCACTGATCCAACTCCTTCTGTGAAAGATCAAGTGAAAGGTTGTTACTGATCCAACTTATTATGTGGAAGATCAAACAACACGACAAATGTTGATCCAACTATATGTGAATAATCAAAGTAATTTGCCAACGTCGATTTATCTCATTCTGTGATATAATCGAACAAAATAAGGTTACGTTGATCCAACTCCTTATGTGAAGAATCAAGCAAAAAGATACCATTGATCCAACTCCTTCTGTGAAGAATCAAACAAAATGTCTATGATGATCTACCTCGTTCTGTGATAGAATCCGGCAAAATAAGTTTATGCTGATTCAACTCCTTCTGTGAAGAATCGAGCAAAAAATTGACACTGATCCATCTTCTTCTGCGATAAAATCAAGCACCAAAATGGATGTTAGAACTGAACAAGTTCTCCTATATGAACTTCTTCAACTTCCAACGAGCTTCTGTAAAATGTAATGATGCACATGTGTTGAGTTCTTCATCAAACTCCAGTTCATGCAGGGGAATGTCCCCTTTGAAAATCTGCATCCCTGTCAAAATGTTAGAATGTTTGAAATGAATGAATGAACATGCATGCTCCTATTTATATGCCTAAACATGAATGCATGATGTCAATTATATTAGGACTATAATTTCCACTGAATCGTGGACATTTTTTTTGCACATTCTTCATCTTCATGACCCTTGCAAAGTTCCAACTTGTTTCTTGGTTTTATCTCATGTTTGAAATCAAACCCGTCTATGTCTTCCCTTCGGGTTCCTTCCTCATATCCGTTCTAAAGCGTCCTTTCAGGTTTTCACTTTAGATTCATTTTTCTCAATGCGCCATTTCAGGTTTTCACTTTAATTTTTCTCTCTTTTTCTTCTTCTTCTTCTTTTTCCTTTTTATTTCTTTTTCTTTTCAAAACTGCGACCTTTCTTATATGCCCCATATAGTATCAACTTGATGAAAATATTCTTCACCGAGAATTGGAATGTCAAACCTCAAATCCATCCCAAATTTTAGTTTCACAAAGCTCCTCATTTAATAGGCTCAATCGTACACTCTTTATCACAAACACGAGTGTCCAAAATGTGAACTACTTCGGATTCCCTACGCTCCGAAGATTAGCTCAAAGTAATACCAAGCAATCTTACGTTTTTATATTCACCATGTTGACTCACTCGAGATATGCTTAAAATTGAAAGAAATGCTAGTAACAAAAGCTTGGATTAAAAAAATGCAATTCATTGATGAAAATTCAGAATTTTACAAAGTCATGACAATCTTAGAAAGGAAATAAAATCAAGAAACAAAGTACAAATAATTCGAAAATTTGAACTACTTCAGATAGGGTTCTTTATTCGGTTAATTCGGTGGCCGAACCGACCGAACTACCATTAACCGAATTAAC